ATATATATATATATATATATAACTAAATTAAATATATTAGTATATACTGTATATATAACTAAAAAATGAGAAATGTTGCCTTGGCAACTAGCTGAAAATTTATTTTATTTCAGTTAATGTTTGTTTGATTTCAAGTAATGAAATATTTATGGTTTTAATACAAATGATTACAAATTATTTTATACAAGCTTTTATTTGATTCACGAGTGTGAATTTGAAGTGATTTGGATGCTGAATCAGAATATCAGTAACAGGAACTCTCCTTTCTTTTTATGTTTTCAATTATATACTTAGATAATTTTTTTCCATTTTATTGTTGATTTTATGTCTATATCATCTGTTATGATTATTTTAAAATACTTTTTATGTGAAGCACTTTAACCATTGCATATGAAATGGTTAAATGCCTTGCCTAGTGAATTGTAATTCCATGAAATTATGACCTGTGGTGGGCCATCAGGGCCAGCAAGGCCTTCCCTGCTGGCCTAAACACATCAGAATCACTGACTTAGTTTTAATATATTTTTTCCATGAATGTGTATTAAATGATTCCCAATAGTCTATTCTCTTCATTTCATAGCTTTTCTCTTGGTTGCGCTGCTACCAGTAGTTTATGTTTATATTAGAGCTTTTATGCAATCATATTTCAGCAATCATGTGTTGCCAGGGTCAAAGAAATCAGCCTTGAGGCCTTCAGAATCAACAGTTCGGGCACCTGTAACTTAAAAATAAATGGCACGGTTTAACCAATCAGATTTTGAGTTGATGAAACCGGAGCCATCTAGCAGGTGTACAATAACGTCGGCATTTTCACGTCCTTTGATAGGATGGTCAGAGAGCATACTAGTAGTCAGAGGTAGCAAACAGCACACTGTAAATCATTTTTGTTGTTTTCACAGTATAATTACCGTATTCTCAGCTTTTCTTACTGTATACATTGTGAACAGTATAGTATTGTTGATTTACAATACATTCTGGGAAAATATTGGCCTACTGTAAATCTAAATACAGTAGTACTAAATGACCATGAAAAACAAACACACACCTCCTCGGCAACGGCTCTGTGACAGATTCATCGTGAAGATGAAAGCCCACTAGAGTATGGTAGGTTAATTTTCATTTTTTAATCACTTTATATGTTTTATTCTGATGTTATGTGCAAGATATAAAGGAACATTTAAGTTTCCATAAGAATCTAAGCGCTTAATTTCCGAGTCAAGCTGTGTTAACTGGCCTTTTCCTCCCGCAGCGGCACTGGCAGACCAGTGAGGAGACTCGTCGTGAAGATGAAAAGTCCTAGGAGTATGTTAAATTGGCAGGTACATGTTAAAACACATGGGGTGGGAATCACAGGGTACCTCATGATACGATACGATACATCGCTTACGATACCAATAGTATCACGACACAGCAATTCTGCGATACTTTATATATATCTAGACAATCCTATAATCATACATCACGATATATAACTATGAAAACAAAATGCCTGTGAAAGGTTTCCTCTCTTCATTCATGTCAAAACTGCTGAAAATTCTGCCAAAATTCAGCAAGAATGAAAATTCTGTCATCATTTACTCACTATCAAGTTGCTTTAAACTTGAATGAGTTTCTTTCTTCTGTTGAACATAAAAGTTATTTTGAAGAATGTGGGTAACCAAACAGTTGCTGGTCCCCAGTGACCTCCATAGTATTTTTTTCCTTCTATCAAAGTTAATGGGGACCAGCAACTGTTTGGTTACCCAAAATATCTTTTACGTTCAGCACAAGAAAGAAATTAATACAGGTTTGGGACAACATGAGAGTGAGTACATTTTTGGGTGAACTATCCCTTTAATGACAAGAGGCAGCATGTTTAGAACAATTAGTCTACTGTCACTTTAAGAGCTGCACACATCCGTTTTTCTCTCAACTGTTTACTTTCACTTTAGACATAACCAACTGTGTTTATATGTAAACCTTGTGTTGTTTTGACAGTATTAGCTCAATCAGCCGCGAAAGATTACGCTTTTTAGCATGCGCACGCCTCAGGTGTACATGCTCAGAACAGCAAGTCAGAGCAGCACACGAATGAAAAGTTTAAACGGCAAGGCTTTAAGTTTAAAGCACATGCAAATAATTCAGTTCTTGCATATAGCGTACTCTTTGTTGATTTTGTTTGTCCCATCAATGGTATAAAAGCAGAGGTGGGTCCAGACTTTGGACTTAAACGTGGCTGGGGCATCTGATCTGTTATTTAATTTACTCACACTGCTGTCAGCCATCCCATTAAAAAGGATTCTTAGGCTAGTTAACTTATGTTCACGTTTCCCTCATTCATGTGTTGAGCACCACCTCGAGGAACCATGAAGTACCGACGCTTGGAGCAGTTAATAAATGTCTGTAAGAACATCGTGGTGGACTATTTTAGTCATTTTGATTAGGTTAATATTGATTCTTTAGCTAGAGATGATATATGTGGTGCAGCTGTGGCTGCAGTGAAAGGAGACTTGTTGAATTGTGTTAATTGGGTTTCTTGCTTCAGTAATGACATTCATTCTGGCTACATGAGATACCTATCTGTGATGTTACGCAACGCCCTGTTATACTGCATTTCTGTATAATATTGATGGTTTCTATAGCCATGGCGACATATTGATGGTATTAAGAGGTGAATTAATTCAGGTAGGACACCGCAGAAGGCCTACGTGTGAAATGCACAGCCTGCCACTGCTTATGACACATGAATTGCATCATTCCAACACAAGTTTTGCATCTAATTTTGAGAGTATAACAAAAAAATGCACACAAATTTTTCAGATAACTTCATAAAACAAAAATATGAACATAAATGTTCTTCCACTATGGTCAAAAACCTTACTAATTTTAGTTAGAAAATATTGTTTAAAATGTTTGTATATTTTTAGTGGAAAACAAGACAGATAATGATAAGGAATATTATATTTTTGTTTCGGTTGTTCAGGCTTGTCAGTTGTAAAGACAAAAGACACTTTGAGAACATTACCGTGTGCATTGAAATTAAGAACATGCATTAGGAACATGCACTGAGACAAAACCGATCAATCAGAATGATCAAAACCTCCACCTCTATGCATGCAGACTGCAGTATGTCTTAGTATCTAGTGTTGTGTTGGAGGGCCGAGTTCGTCTGTTCCCATCATTCCTGCCAATGACAAACGACTCTGATCCTGCAGAAAGAATCATCAGCTCTCATTTGTTTCTTCTTGCTCAGAGCTCTTTAATGCACCAAACACGCCTGCTGGATTTATGTTGGCAACAAATGCTATTGATCTGTGATTAAGAGTGCTTTACGACACATTTCACGATTGAATTTACACTGCTGGTCAGGGACGACACACACACAAACACTGATGGTGACAAGAACTTTGTTTCACATTTGAGGGAGGGCTGTTAAGATCTATCAGCATACAACATGAAGAATTGATAGTTATTATGTTGAGGAGCCTGAGATCAAAATTATGAAGTTATTGTTTAAGGCAGGACACTTCATGTACAGTTCAATTTTGAGATTTTGGTCTATTTTGCTTCCATGTCTTCTTTTGCTCTAATGGAAAGGAAATTTCTAAAATACACATTAAGGTGTTTGTTTTAAGCACCCTCGTCTGTTTGCAAATGTTGATTTCTTCTAA